TCATTCTTATTCGTAAGTACAAATGTTGATTTCATGCCCAGGCCTAAACATATACACAACTTTATTTGTTAAATAAATAACAAAAATGATAGTATACCCAATTTCTTATAGATAATTTTTTTGTTTCGAAAAAATTTTAGATTTGTAGGTTACAAACTTCGTAACCAACTGGCAGCAATCGATTTCAACATGCATAGGAATCGAGAAATTGCAACAACTGCTGATGGTACACCAAGGTACAAATTTGAGTTGCAAAATATGTCATTATAATTTACACCTAGTTGTGTTTTGGGCGAAGACGAAATATTTTGTGACCAAATTGAAAAATCATCTTGCTACAGTAGTTGCAAGCAAAACAATAGTATAAGAAATTAATGAAGAACAAAAAACCACAGACTTTCCAAACTAAAATTTTATTTGTCAAAAAAGAAAAATTATTTTCTATGGAGTTTCTGTGGTTGTAACACAGAAACAAAATAAGAAAAGTGTAGGAAACATGCAAATACATAATATAAATGAAACAGGGAACATTGTAAAGTTAGGTTGGTTCAGAGTGAAGAGCCTCATTACTGCATAAACAAAAAGCATCTCACTTTACAATATTAATGTTAATTTAGATATCGTGCACAATACAGTAAGAAAACAAAACGATGGAGACCTGTTGCATTGTTGAAGCCAAAGGCATACAGCTACATTCCAGATTTGTTGGTGCAAATTTTTCAAACTCGTAGAAGTGTCCCTGGTCGAGTTGATCAGAGAATTGTCAGGTCTGCTGAAGATCCCCGTAATATTGCAGCAAACATTGCTATCATACCCCGACCAACAGTGCAGCAGCTTTTATCAGAACACAAATCAAGATTTACTACAGAATAAAAGTTAACCAGAAGTCTCATTTGCTTCTGTATATCTTATTCTGTGATAGTATAGATGCACCAGCTAAATATAAATGTCTAACAAAAGTCATAGTCTTGCAGGGCGAAACCCTACGTAAAATCCATTAGCAGAAGGATACCTTGCACGTATTGCAAGGATACAACAGCTCGGAACAACCCTACGGTCACCTTTACCCAATTTCCCATGCTGCTACAGCACAAATTGCCGATAGGCAGCATGTCGAAAGTTCTCGTTATTTCTGTGGTGAGCCATTGCAAGTATATCCTCTCGATACCTCATCTGTTTCTCTAATACATTTGCATCAAGTACTATATGTTGGAAAAGTGGCATAGTTGTCATGCATTGCATTCTTCTTTTACAACAACACTTGTTCTCAGTTTGCGTAGGCATGGGCCTGCATGCACCACAATAACACCAGGCTGGATCTTCATTTGGATGGTCTGGGGGTGGTTGGTTTGGGGGTGGTTGGTCTGGGGGTGGTTGGTCTGGGGGTGGTTGGTCTGGAAGTGGTTGGTCTGGGGATTGTTGATCAACTGGGGGTGGTTGGTCTGGGAGTGGTTGAACTGGGTACTGGTTTGGGGGTTGTTGATCAGGTGGGGTGGTTGGTTTGTTAGTCTGCCTGGGTCTGCTTGTGGTGGTTGATTTGGGATTTCTCCATTTACTAAATCCATGTAGACGTCTGGTTGCCGTCTTAATAGTTCCAGTGCTAATTGCTGCAGCAGATCATGTGGGAGGTTGAGCACTAAATCCTAACAACAAAATTTTTTGCATACTATTTAGCAACCAGTTGTTCATTATCTGTTCAATTCATGCAAGTAATATATGATACAACAAGTACCTGCAACTGATTCTCCTGGGCGGCCTGTCTAGCTTCAGCACTTTCCTCAGGCACCAATCCTCCTCTCCCACGACCACGAGATCTTCCTCTTCCTGACTTTCTTTGAGTTTGGGCCATTCTTCCCCGAATACCTAGCCCTGAATGCTCTCCAGTTTTTTCCAAGTTTTCTTTTGGTTTTGCCCTTCCTCGTCCCCGAGAATAAAGTCTTCCACGCACACGAGCTCTTCTATTCCTGCCGGGACCTCGACTTCTTCCCCTGGCACTGCTTTTTCTTATATCAGTAAAGCTCTCATCAGCACTTGAAGTATCCTAAAAGTTTGATAATTTTTAAACACAGTAATGCACTAGTAATGTACAATAGCATTTTCTTCTCATGTTGGGAATAAACCAAGTTACAATTTAATAATCTTCAATCATGGAATTGTAAAGCATTGGGGATAAAAAGGCTGGGATCTTTAACAGGCAATATAATTTCCCAGGATAGGGATGAAAATACCAGTGATTTAACACTGTTGAAATGTTAATTTCCCCGCCCTATCTTAAGGGTCTGGGAACGGAGTTTCAATTGAATATTGTATAACTTTGAACAATTTTAGTCATGTTACTAGTACTACACAGCTGAAGTGGCGCATTGTATAAAATTTGTTTATAGTAAAATTACATTTTATTGTTCACTTACCGGTCTTATTGACACATCAGAGTTATCGCTTTTATTATCCTCGCTGTTATCGGAATCGGAGTCGCTTTCCAAAACTTTTCGTTGGTTCATACAAGCCCCTGAGAATTGATTTGCATGACATACAGACGAACAATAATGGCCAACACTCTTGCATGGGCATGCACTCCTTCCGCTATCTCTAAGACACATTCCACGACAAGAGCAATTTGATATGTCATCTGAGTTCGGAACAATAGCAGCCTGCTCAATTTCAAATCTTTCAAGGTAATCCAATTGAAAACTCTCATTCATATTTACATTTTATTTGCATAACAAAGTATCAAATTCATAATTTTGGTGGAGTGATGAAAGCATGAGATTATAATTATGACGAATGTAATACTTAGTGTAAGAATATTATAATGTTCTGTTTATAAACACAAAATGTAAACAAAACTCCCGCATATGCGCAAACCGGACTGTAGATTATCTTTAATATATGTTAATTTCTATACAATATTTTTCTGTTCAGCAAAAGCGGTAACGGCAACAGAAGCAGATAGTTCAACAATTCAGGCGACAAGTAAGTTCACATTGAAAACACTTTCAAAATGTCGTCAGTTATAGAAATTGTCGAGAAAATCAAATGTCAATAATGTTTACATGGTTAATACTGAATATTTACCTTTAATGTCAAAAATTAACTTTGTACTGTTCTATATTTACAGCAAATTCCACAATGAAAAAAACAGAAGGTTCAACAACTGAACTAACAAGTACTAAGTTTATGATTATTAAAATTTCCATGGCATCCACTTTTGCTTTTTAATTAACTTGCCTAATTGCAATTAGTGATCATATTAATCGACATTAAATAAGACAAAAGGTTCGGAAACTGGATCAACAAATTTGTTCATTTAAAGTTTGTTCGTTCACTGCAATCAGGTATATCAATATCTCTCGCTACTCTGGTTTAAATAAACGTCATTACTTGGGTATTTAAGAAGCCACGATTGCAATTTTAGATCACCCCTGCTGAAGACACTAGACTGGAGTGTCGAAACGTTCGGTCTTGATTACATTTCGAATGGGCTTTGTAATAATTTATTTAAACCAGAGTAGTGATCGAGCGAAACAAATTTGTCCATGATCACAAAGAGTCAATTTAAAAATTCCATTTTCATTCTTCCATGTTCTCGTATAATTACTAGTAATAAAATTTAAAATAACTGTTCTTGCAATAATTATAATTATATGTAGCAAAATCTACACAGAAAACTGTAAAAGGTTTGACAACTCATGTACTCAACCAAGAAGTTTTTTCATAATAATCAATTTTCAGTCTTTCACATTTCTTAAAAATGTTAAATTTTGTGCTTTGAAATAACTCGTCTTTATAATTATAGCAAAAGATACACGGATAAAGATAGATAGTTCTACAACACAACCAACAATTTTAGAGTCATTCATGTTCACAATGAATCGATGTGAAAATTATTTTTTCATACTTTCCTGTTTTTTGAGCAGACAATTAATTTTTTGCTTTTAGTTAATAACTGTTATTATATAATTAAAGCTGTAGCAACTATACCGAAAAAGACACACGGTTCAACAACTCAGTCAACAAGTATAGGTTCAAAAACAAGTAGGTTCACAATTTTTAGAATTCAACAATTTTAAAATTCAAGTTCACTTCGATATGCTTCATTCCTTTTTATTTTAATATAGCCAAATCTACACCGAAAACGACTGAAGGTTCCACAACTCAACAAACAGGTAATTCAACAACTCAAACAACAAGTAAGTTCAAAATTTAGGAATTCCACGAAATTTCACTTCCATATACTTCCTTTCATTTTTTCGAGAATGTTAAATTTTATGCTTTTAATTCAAATAACTTCCTTTATAATTATGGCACAGCCTACCACGAAAAAAACAGATGGTATGAATCATTGTAAAAATTCTATAATCATCCTTTAGTTTTTACAATATTCATTTTCTACGGTTTTAAAGATTACTCTTCTCGATCTTTACCAACACTTTACCACACTGATCTTTACCACACTGATGGTTTGACAGCCGAACCAGCAAGTATATATGTGCACAATAAATCAGTTCAAAAATTTTATATTCATACCCTTCATCCTAAGAATATATAATTTTTGACGTTTTAAATATTACACTTCTCTCTAACTAAAGCAAAATTTAAACCGAAAAAACAGATGACTCAAAACCTCAGCGAACAAGTACTGTAATTTCGCAATGAATGAATGCAAAAATTCAGTATTCATCCTTTCATCTACCCTGACTCAGAGGTTTTTTTAGGTTTGTCGAACGCGAAATGCGAGAAAACGCACGAAGAAAAAGGAAAAACCTCTGGTGAATTTGTTAGCGATTCCCGGTTCGGATATGGAATGCAAAATATGTATAATGGCTTAATGCATCATATTCTAAAAATATTATCCAATCATTATCCTTGATGCCAGGCCGTCTAGACAGGTTTTATTTAAAAATATCGCATGTATACTGTCCAGTGTATACCTGCCCATTTGTAGCAATATTCATTCTCCTGAATTTCATTCAATTTAAAACATCACATCTATTCAATTTAATATAAATATATATTTATATTCATTCACTTTAATCTTGCAATATACATTCAATTTAATCTTGCAATATACATTCAAAAAAATCTGTATTTAAATTTATTAAACACACCTCATTGGGCCGACGTGAACTTTGTACATGTCTGTTAACAAAAGCAAGCAAACGTCTTGTAGATTTCAAATGAAACCATTCCTCTCCATTTCGCATTTCGAATAATAGACTCGGGATTAAAAAATGCGAATGTAAACTCTCCATCTAGTATTGCTTTCTCGTCCTCTTCGTTTGACAGTGAAGTAACACGGCATCCACGCTTTCCTAGTTCACGGACGTGAGAGTCAATGAAAGAGTTCAATTTGCAAATGACTGTTAAGATGGGTTTCTCCAGAAAATTGTGGCTGTTGCCAAGTCGTCGTGCTACTCTCGGTGTTAGAACTTTGGAATATTAAACTCTTCCCATAACCGATAGTAAGATGCAAATACATCTTTAATGTGAATCAAATTGGACAAGCCGCGGTATTGATGCTCCGTTAAACTTTTAGTTCAGGAAATTTAATCAATCTATCTATTAATGCAGCCTATAAAACTGCTTCTTTCAACTTTTGTTTCGTTTATTTAATAATATAGACATTTCAAAATTCAAATGTTTCAATTCAATCAAAACACGAAAGGCCTGCGAACAGGCTATGATGTTTACAATATCCAATCAGAACACGTAGTCTATCGAACCTATAGTTAGCAGCCAATCAACACTTTTCTTCCATTTTTTAAAGTTATGTGTGGAATGTGAACTAGAAAACTACGCCAATTTCACCAGAGGGTTATTCAAAACAGGCGAAAATAAATACCCTCTGGCTCCAGGGTACCTTTCATCCGAAGAATATTAATTTTTTCATTTTAAATATTACTCGTCTCTTTATAGCAATATCTAGCTGAAAAAGACAGCTGGTTTCAGCCTAGATCTAGGCCTTCTATTTTTACTTATATTTTTAATATTCAGCGCTTTTTCACATGAAACCATTGCGACAATTACCAAATGCTAGCCGAAAATTTTACAAACCTGCCAAAGATACCTGCCAAAGCCTGCCGAGTAAAGGCCTAGGTCTGGGCTGAGCTGGTTTAACAACTCAACCAACAAATTTGTACTGACTGAGTCAATGCAGAACTTCTGTGTTCATTTAATAATTTTAAACTAGAAATACATGCATACAGCAACCCCTCGCGTGTATTTTCCAAACATTGTTGTTACATGAAGTATTTGTAATTGATCAATTAACACTGAACGCAGGCTCGCGTTTACGTCAGTGTTGCCATGGCAACACGATAAATTTAATTTTTATTTTATATTTTT